ACATCCAAGCATGGGAGAAAATAACCCACAGTCCCACAGAGAGAGAAAGAGAGGGAAGAACCATTGGCTCAGTTGTGATCATGTGACATTCGATGTCACGTACTCCTTGCATTGCAAGACACTGCTTGTTTATCAAGTTAAAATTTATTAGAAATGTTTGCTCTTCTCGGGAAAGACTCACAGAACAAATTACTCACAATCCAAGGTTTTACAGTATTTGAAATCTCTGTAGCAGTAAGTCTTCATATATTACTTAGGTGATACAATTAAGCAACATTTTTTTTTTTTTTAAATCGGGACAGGGGCACATAGGTGGCTCAGTTGGTTAAGTGGTCCACTTTGGCTCAGGTCATGATCTTGCAGTTCGTGGGTTCGAGCCCAGCATCAGGCTCTGTGCTGACAGTTCAGAGCCTGGAGCCTGTTTCAGATTCTGTGTCTCCCTCTATCTCCGCCCCTCCCCTGCTCATGTTCTGGCCCTCTCTCTCTCTCAAAAAGAAATAAACAGTAAAAAATTTTAAAAAAGAAAAATTGGGACAGAATTCAGCAGTTAATAGCAAAATGATAGATACCTTCCAGAGTTGATATGACGGTGCAATCAGTCACTCATGCATTTAGTCACGTCACTGAGTGAGCTCCTGAGGGGCCGGGAACTAGCAAGCTAGACGGTCCCTAACATGACAAAGCTCTCATCATGTTGGGAAAGACATGATAAACAGCTAAACCACAAGTCACTAGTTGTGGATGGAATTAAGTTTGGTAAAGGTGCTCTAAGGGAGGGTGTCTGGGGAGCCCCACTGTACAGAATGGCCTCCTTGGGAGGTGAAGCCTAAACTGAGGCCCCAAGAGTGATGAGCTGCCCCCTTCCTGGGAAAAGGAAGGAGCAGACTCAGGGGGAGGGCTCAGCATGTTCCAGAGAGAAGAAGAAACTTTCCAGTACTGCATAACTGGGAACAAACAGTCTTCCAGAGCTGGTGAGGTTTCAGGCTGAATAAATTCCCAGACACCAGAGAAACAGGATGGGCGGGGTTGAATACTGTCAGAGGAGTTTCTTGATAGGCCACACCACCATGTTCAGCTGTCTTCAGGGCCAGTCTGACCCTAAATGCAGTAAATTTGGAAAACATTTCTGGCTAACTGCGTGAAGGCCTACTGTCCTTTCCTAGCCGGTTTCCAAACTGCCTTTCTATCCCATGTTCCATGTTTTTCACTTTCCTACTTTCCAGTGGTAAGGGATTAGTAAGCCCTGCAATGCTTCTTTATGCCAGAGCATCATTTTTCATCCCAAGGGTTGCAAACACCTGCAAGGATGACTCAGGAGAGGAGAGGAGCCAGGGTTTTCTGGCAGAGGAATGTGGGAGCTGAGAAACAGGGTCACATTGTTTCCACTCTTCCTGAGGGTACTGGAGCAGTCTGATTGTATTTCCTCTGGATTCTGATCTGTGTCTCCTCCTGACTGTACTGTGTACTTACACAGGTGTGAAGGAGAGAGAGAAGGGGCTCTCAGCAGTGGCCATTTGCATCCTTCAGGCATCTGAGGCTGCTTTGCTGATGCAGAACCCCCATCAGGACATCCATTCCTGGGAGGATCTGGGGCTCTTGTACCCAGGGCTCTGAAGGAATACTCAGTTGGCATTTTCTCTAAGTCCACTTTTCTATGCTAAGTCAATTATTGCTCTACTCATCAAAGACCAGAGTCATCATGTTTTAATGCAAAGCATGGTTTTTGATCAGGTGTCAGATACGCCTGGGCCCAAAGCCCAGCACCTGAGGGATTCTGACCCTCACCTGAGATCCTGTTGCTTGTTTCAGAAACATTAACACGAGGAAATAGATGTAAGGTAATTAACACTCTCTCGATTACTCAGCTTGTGCTGTGATAATAACTGCAAGTTTCAGGGGTTTACAACCCAAGCATACATTTCTCACTCCAAGTTTTGCAGGTTGGCTGGCCTGGGTTCCAGATGCCTTCTCACTTGGGAATGGAGGGGAAAGGTATAGCTCCTCCATGGGATATGCTGTTCTCACGGTGGAAGCCAGGAGCACAAGGGCGGTGGGGGAAACTTGGGCTTGGAACCAGCACACTGTCACTTCAGCCCACAGTCCACAGTCCAAAATAATTCCCATGTGGAGGGAGAGAAAGATGAATATTTGCTTAACAATAATACAATTGCCACACTAAACCAGGAACATGTCAGGTCCTCCAAAGTTGTTAGCCTCCACCCCTCTTCCCATGCCTACAGTAGGATTCAATGAATGCATGGCCGGAATGATGAGCGAGCCCTGTTGCCAGCCCAACTTTGAATGTCAAGCCAGCTGGTCAGTGTCCATTCTGGCCCCACAACCTTGACCTTCATCCTATCCCACCTGCCTCAGCTTCCTCATCCTTTCCAGACCCTCACCTCACTCTACTGTGTCGCATACCACGTAATCCTGTGTCCTGACAGCTGGTGGTAGCCCCCACTTTCTACCTTCTCCATGATCCCAACAGGCCACGGTCCATGTAGTTTCCTGCCATTCCAGGCCATTGTGGGCTCTGATTGCTAGGCCCATTGTGAGTGTGTAGACAAGAATATGACATCAATCACCAACTTTGTCATTGAAAAAGACCGCTGAGCCTAAGGTAGCAAAATAGGTGAAAAGATAGTCTGTGGTTATATCGCATGGCTATCTTTAAGAATAAGCCTATGCCTTTTAACAAATTCTGGTCCTCAAATTACTTCTCAGTGATATTATTGTGGGGGTTAGGAGAGAGTGTGGGGTGGGCACAAGAATTAGTTGGCAACCTGGCCTAATAAGAGGTGGAAAATATATAATAAGTGAGGTTGTGAGGACTTTGAATATCACTTTTTCCAAGTCCCTTATTTTACAAATAAGAAAACTGAGAGGTACAGAGAAGAACTTTCTATAGTAAATTATGAAAAGAAACCAAGCCCCTTGAGTCCTGGGCCAAATCTCTTCCTACTGCATCAGAACAAAATGGAAAAAATCTTTAGGCCATCAAATGTCCTGAACCCCAGAATAGGCTATAAGAGGGAGGCTATGTTAACTTAGTCTTCGATTGAGAAGATGTTAAATGGGGCCAATGGCATGGACAAAGGCATCAGAAGCAGTAGGCGTTGTCCAGGGGTGGGGAGCCTTTGGGCTTCAGCCGGTTTGGCCTTAGGTATAAAATACAGTCCTGCCTGGGAGCATTCAGGATCTTGAAGGGACTGTTTCAAGACATCAAGACTTTGGCTGCTTTCTGAGGACTTTCCTTTCCTTGCTAATGCTTATGAGGACGATAAAAACAAAGGTCTGAGCCTAAATAGTGACGGTGGTGCTTTCCTTGTTCATATAGCAAAAGTCTTGGGGAATGAGTGATCTTCACAGTCTTCTGAGGGAATGACATGTCATCATCAGGAATTTCTAAAGGCATTCCTTGTGACAATGGAGACTAATTCAGTACATGCGATAAATTGCTACTCCTAGATTTTCAGTCTAATTATCAAATCATTATGATTAGCAGGCAGTCCTCTGAAAAGAAAATTACCTGTATATTTTAGTAGAATGAGCTGTCCCTTGGAGGGAATTATTTCAGTCAGAGTCATGGTGTCTAGAAGCCCTTCCATAGGAATGAAAACAAAAGGAAAGAAGAAAATAAGGAGCAAAATGGATGAATGGGTGCTAAGGATACAAGATGGATTTCAACAATATTGTCAAGAGACATTTAGTGCATTGGAAGGGCAGATATGGCACACGTCAACCACCAAGACCAATGGATGCACGTGCCAGGGTATAGGTGAGAAGTTTCAGTACCCACAGGCGGATTGACTTGGAACGTTCTGCCCTTCAACTGGCATTGACTGCCAACATTTTAATATTGATTATAAAGAGTTAATGTTCTGTAATGCCCAGTAGCCAAAAGTCTATTTGTAGAAATTCTGTGGATCTTTTTGCAAAGAATATTTGTTTTATGCAAACACGTTAGCTCTGCATAAATCTGTATTTTGTTTTTCTGGCATGGCGTTAGATGGGGATTAGTGGGGGGTGGCAGGAGGGGGGAGCTCCAGTCTCTCAGGCGGAGCACTTCCATGCATTAGTAATGCATGCAGAATCTAGCAACAGTTTACTGAACATTTACTTGACACTACATGCTGTGCAGAGCACAGAGGAGTATGGTGTAGATGCCTTTGCCCACAACAGCTATTGTGAGCAATGGCTCATTGCTAGTGTTGCATCCGTTTCACAGAATTTAACTAAGCAGACTGTGAAGTTAAGTGGTTTCCTAAATCAGCATCTGACCTGGGACAGAAAGCCAGAGCCTTGGCTCTTTTGATGGTTTGAGTCTTAAAAACTATCCCCAGGGCAGCTTATTGTGATTAACTTCTGTGGAGTCTCACCAGCAAGGAGGATGTTGGCTAGTCTGACGCAAAGCAAAATGAAGTAAAGCTTCAAATTTCTTTTAGAAATTTCTTATGTGAACCAGAAATCTGGGCTCCCCTGTAACGATGAGCCTTGCCTTCCCATCCTGTGTGAGTCACTTCTGGGCCCGCAGGTGTCTGGCCTCTGCAGCCACAAGAGTCCTTCCTCAGACGCTTACATCGCCACACTGGTGTTTGTGAGGCCACAGTCAAAGTATGTGGAGGCTTACAAAGGAGACAGGGGACATCTGAGGCCCATAAGCCAGTGCAACCTTGAGGTTTTTAAACCGTGGTAAGACACATCACACAAAATTTTTTCGCTTTAATCATAGCAAACAGAGGCATATTTGCTTAGCATTTTTGAGCTGTGGCTATTTTTTTCTAGTTAATATGGGTCTTGCTCTTTGAGCCCATCTGAGAGTCCTGGGGCATTTTAAATCTCCAGGAAAGTTTCTAATAGCTATCTTATCACCCCAGGGACACTGCAGAGAGATAGAGAGCGGCTTTAGAGAGGTCCTTTGATTTCTTTTTCATTTTTATTTATTTAGTTAGTCCTTATTTATTTATTTATTTAGTTAGTTAGTCCTTTGTATTTCTTACCTGGCTGAGCATTCCACTGCATCACTATTGATGTCATGAGGGTGGCGGCCATCAACATTGCAGCCCACAGACTGGGCGGTCCCGAAAATCTCTTTAATGGTTCCAGAGAGTTCTCTGGATCAGTGCCACATCTGTTGGGCAACATTGACGATCTCATCAAAAGTGATATTTCTACTGTGCTTAATGTTTTTCTGCTTCTTTCTGTCTCTTGGCGGTTCCTTGAGGGCTTCGATAATCAGGGCAGAGACAGAAGGTGCCATTTCTATCTGGGCCTGCCTGTTCTGAATGGTCGGTTTCACCGACCTCAAACCCTTTCAATCACCTGTTACCTTGGCGATGTCATCACCAACATTTTTTGGAGACAGAGCCTGCGGGCTGATTTTTGGGGCCAGGGCAGACGTGACACCAACTTCACCACCGGTGCACCTCAGGTATATGACTTTGACCTCATTGGGGTTGAACTTAGGCAGCATGGTGGAGGTAGTTGGTGTTGGATGAACCTGGATTAGGGACAACCAAAGACAGTTGCAGCATGGCCTCCTCTGAGCCGAAAGTCAAAAGCTGTTTTTTTAAGCTTATTTATTAATTTTGAGACAGAGAGAGAGAGAGAGAGAGAGCATGAGCAGGGGAGGGGCAGAGAGAGAGAGAGAATCCCAAGCAGGGCTCTTAACCTCCTGAGCCACCCAGGTACCCCATCTAAGAGAATTTAGAGGACCTGTTCCAGGAAGGGAGCTATCACCATAGATAACTATAGTATAATATGAACGAGAAGAAGCAGATAGGGACAAATTTTCTTTTTACATTTTTAAAAATGTTAATTTATTTTTTGAGAAAGACAGAGCATGAGTGGGAGAGGGGCAGAGAGAGGGAAACACAGAATCTGAAGCAGGATCCAGGCTCTGAGATGTCAGCACAGAGCCCCCACACGGGGCTCAAAATCACGAACTGTGAGATTACAACCTGAGCTGAAGCTGGTCGCTTGACAGACTGAGCCATCCAAGCACCCTACACAGGGAAGAATTTTTAGCAAGGTCTATTTGTTAAAATTCCTCTCTGTGTTCCATTGTTTCTGAATAGCTTAGCAAACGCTTGTTTACCAAACATTTACCCTTTTTCATCTTCCTGTGCATTGTTTTCCTTCCCTTAAAAACCCCAGATCCCAAACCCCTTTTCCTTAGTTCAGGATGACTTATACACCTCATTTTTGCCTATCTTTGGAATTTAATGTTTCTGTGGATTCCCCATATGTATGAAATTAAATGTTACTGTCTCGTGTCAATTTTTTAATTCATTTTTTAAAATCTTTATTTTTGAGAGAGAGACAGAATGCAAGCAGGGGAGGAACAGAGAAAAAGGGAGACACAGAATCTGAAGCAGACTCCAGGCTCTGAACTGTCAGCACAGAGCCCAATGCAGGGCCTGAACCCACAAACCATGAGATCATGACCTGAGTTGAAGTCAAATGCTTAGCCAACTAAGCCACCTGGGTTCCCCTGTCTTATCTCAATTTAATTCTTAGGCATACTAGAAGAACCTTGAAGGGCAGATAAAGTTTTTCCTCCCCACATGTGCAACCATCACCACCATTCATCTCCAGAACTTCCCAAATTAAAACTCTGTACCCATTAAACACTAACACTAGAATATTCTGACACTAACTAGCATTCTGCTCCCAATTCCAGTGTGTGGGTATTTTCCTCACATCAAACAATTCTGACATCAAATGATTCCCTTGACCCCTCCTCAGATTTTATTAATTTCCTAGAAGAGCTCACAGAACTCAGGAAAACATTTACCTACTAGATTACCAGTTTATTATAAAAGAATATAACTCAGGAACAGCCAGATGAAAGAGATGCATATAGCAATGTATGTGGGAAGCATGTGAGCCTTTCATGCCCTCTCCAGGCTCACTGCTCTCCCCAAATTACCACGTGTTCACCAACCCAGAACTTCCCTGAACCCACTCCTTTTTGTGTTTTCATGGAGGCTTCATTACATAAGCACAGGTGATTAAATCAATGGCCATTGGTGATCCATTTAACCTCCAGCCTCACACCCCTCTGGAGGTCAGGGGGATGGAACTAAATGTTCCAACCCTCCAATCACATGGTTGGTTCTCCTAACAACAGGCCCCATCTTTAGATGCTTTCTGATAGTCACTTCATTAACATAACAAACGGCACCTTGATTGTTTTCATTGCTTAAGACACTCCAAGGGTTTAGGAGCTCTGTGGCATGAACAGAGAAGATCATGTATTTATTTCTTATGTAAAGTATAATATCACAGTGATTTATAGAGAGAACCCTTCTTCCCTCAGCCCCTGGCAACCACCGTTCTGCTTTCTGTCTCTATGAATTGTATTTGATTACTCTAGGTACTTCATTTAATGGAATCATGCAATATTTGTCCTTTTGTGATTGGCTTATTTCATTTAGCATAATGTCTTCAAGTTTGATCCAGGTTGTTGCATGAGTCAGAATTTCCTCCCTTTTTAAGGCCATACTTCATTGTATGTATATACCACATTTTGTTTAGCCATTTATTCACCAATGGGCATGTGGGTTGCTTCTACCTTTTGACTATGATGAATGATGCTTCTATGACCATGGGTGTACAAAGCCTTGAATTTTTAAAGGAGATTTTTATTCACACTTTGCAAGCTTCAGAAAAATTTAGTTGTCTATCTCAAAGACAGATTTTTATTTTTTAAAATTCAGATGTCTTGAGTGGCTCAGTGGGTTAAGCATCTATCTCTTGATTTTGGTTCAGGTCACGATTTCACAGTTCATGGTTCATGAGTTTGAGCTCCCTCCTATTGGGCTCTGTGCTAACAGCATGGAGACTGCTTGGGATCTCTCTCTGCCCCTCTACTACTTTATTTCTCTCTCTCAAAATAAATGAATAAACAAAAAAATTCAGAATCTCTTGGTGGGACAAGGCTCAGCAGGGTGGAAAAGGAAGATCAGAGATCCAGGAGAATCAGAGACAACAATCCTCTGGAATCCAAATAAGGACTTTGTTTTTCTCTTTCCACAAGGAAAGGATAGCAATCACTTCGAATGTTAAACAATGAGTCCCAATTTGGAAGAGAACAGAAAAGATGTTTTGAGATGTGCTATTTAAGAATCCACTGCTAATCTTAGCAAGAACGATTTTATCCCGTTAATTATGGAGACAGATGCCAGATTGCAAAGGTTGAAAGAGGTATGATGAGCATATGGAAACAGTGAGAAGTAGTTAACTTCTCTTTTGAGAAGTTCAAGGTTCATAAGAAGAAGGAGAAAGCCAGACTATGGCCACATAGGAGACTGGTGATGAGAGGAAACTAATGTCAGTTTGAGGTTCTAAACATCATCTTGTTTAATCATCAAAGCAATTCTCTTAGGATGGCTTCTGTTTAATTCATTTTCAGATGAAGAATCTGAGCATCAAGACGTTTAAGCAACTTGTTAAGTTAAGCAAAATTAGAACCCAAGACCAACTCCAGAATACTGTGTCACATGCCAGGAGGTTGTTTGTTTCAGGATGTATAGTGGAAAGATGATTATAGATCATGGGGAGCAAGTCCTCTGTTGTGTCTATTTCATGCACACCCTTCGACTACCTCTTGTATTTACTCCTCTGGTCTGATATCCTGACTGCAATACTCCTTCAACCTCTGAGAACAGAAACACATCAGCTCTCCCACCTTTTGGCTGTGTCTCCTTCCCACGCCCACCCTTCCTTACCAGTATGCATTGAAGTCAACCTTCCTAACCACTTCCCTGCTGGCACCTTCTCTCCTGCGTCCCTGGTTTAGTCTTGCTTGCTTGACAACACCCATTCAGGTGAGTGACTGACATGTATACCTGATATGTACACATGACAGCCAGTCCCATGTGGACCTTTACAAATGAAGAGCAATCACACCACTTCTCTCCTCTATTCAATCTCCTACTCACTGAGGTAACTCTCACACACATCTCTTCCCCATCTTCACTTTTGGCTGAAGAACTTGCTTCTTATTCCACTGAGATTAAATTTAGCAACACAGATAACATTTGTGACCTTGTTATGAGGACTTTCTATAGAGCGCTGAAATTAAAGTTGAATTATGATGGCTTTCAGAGAGAACAGAAGGAGAAGAACTGGAGACAATAGGTACAGACAAGTCTTTCCTAGAGGTTTATGACAAAGCCCAAGAAAAGGAACAAAGTTTGGACAGGGAAGAGGGGACAAGGCAATTTATCTCAGTGCTGATGATACAGTAGTACATAAAACCCCTGCTCCCAATCCTTAGAATCCTCTTTACTCTTGGGCTTCTCAAGCCCTCCCAAAGGAGACCCAAGAATGAGGACATAAGAATTGGAGGGAAGATCTCCAGAAATCAGGGATTTCCTTCCTAGCTGAAAATGACACTCCAGTTCCATTCATTCCTTCACTAAAGGAAAGCTCCAACAGACTGATTCTGGATTATCCAGGAGGCATCATTCAGTTGTTAGATAAACCACAGTCTGAAACAATCTCTATTCCCCTTCAGCTATGTTTCCTTAGCTTGTCTCTCTGGACTGGATCAAACCCAAAGCCAAGTATGGCTTGCATTTGTTTGGTTTTATTGGGTGGGTAGCTAAAATGAAGTTCAGCCATTAGAAATGAATACGCTTTGCCATTCTACTCCCAAGGATGAATCAGGACTCAGAATTGACCATGACATTGAAAGCATTTCCAAACTTATTCTGCTGTTCCCCAGCTCTTTGGGGAGAGGTATCAGGGTGAGGAAAGGCATAATTTGTGTAGTAGATCCTTTGCAATCATTACTCCAGGCACCGTGGAGAAGCCATGGGTAAAGATAGCAGGAAATTGGGAGAGAAGCTGGGAAAATGGACAGAGGCCCTGGTGTCAGGTTAAGGTGATGGGATTTTATTTTAAGGTAAGACAAGAGCATTAAACCATTTTAAGGAGGGAAGTGCCACTATCAGGACTTAGTTTAGAAGTACTCTTAAGATATGCCTTGGAAATGTTAAAGGACAAAGTGAGATGATCAGATTTGCCTTCTAGAAAGAATTACTTGTCTAAAAGGAGCTAAAGGAACCCTAGAGTATCTAAGGAGGGCACCAAAGTAAGGGGTTAAGAAGAGCAACAAGATGAGATATGCATTTTGAAGGAATTACTCCTCTAAAGAAGTTTAAAAAGGTATAAATGGACAAGTAAGTGGGGAGCCAGAGGAAACTTAGAATCAAAGTAAGAGCCAAGGCCTCCACCATGTTCCCCATCCGCTTCATTTGCCAGTGCTGCAAGCAGCCGCTAAAGCTGAATCAGTCCATGGAGACCTCAGGTCTTGAGACCACCCAAGAACCTACAGCTTCCACACTCTCAGCTCAGTGGGAGCCAGGAGAAACTCTGGAAAGAGGCCCTGCATCCAAGGCAGAGACAGATACTGAGAAGCTGCAGGATAGTACCTCCTGCTCCACCCTCCCTGGAGATGATGGCAAGATGTCCAGGGACAGTTCTAGCAACTTCATCTTACTTGGAGAGTTTGCCCCTACAAGTATGCTCAGTAACGCC